ATGAGACTTTAAATTTGTGTCCGTAGACTATGAACCAAACCGAGACGATTAAGTTTTAATAAACCGAGCTTTTGGTAAAACATATAGTTTCTATGAACCAACAAGCTACTATTGGTAAATCAGGATCTTAACGGTCATGTCTCACCCCGCACAATTTCTCGTTATTACGCCGTTGTGCGCCATAAGGCCATGCACGTGCTTGGTGTTCATGAGTGCTCTAGAAGTTTTATCATGCTTCATAGAGGCGGCCCCAACTCACACTCATATAGGTGACATCATCAGGTGTGTACTGCTTTTGCACACCACCCTAAAATTAAGGGCTATGATAATCATTAAGAGCTTTTAGATCACCCTCTCAAAGAATGCGATTTCTAGCCTATATCTCACATCATGGAAATGGGCAATTTTAGTTAGGCTAGCAGAACTAAATGGAAGACTTGTTATTACCCATATGAACTTGCTTCATGAGATCTCTAATCACACAAGTTGGGTTCCCATCCCCATTTGTTTCAAAGTGACACTATGCCCATTTCCTTCGATGTTTCAGTTATCAATTTTCGTCCAAAAGCTTTTGTCAAAGGATCCGCTAAATTTCCTTGCGACCTCACAAAATTAATGGACACAATTCCATTCTTCAATAATCGTTTAATAACTTTATGCCTTAAACGAATGTGTCTATTCTTCCCATTATAACACATTTTCTTAGCAGTATCTATTGCACTTCTGCAACCACAATGAATAGACACATATGGTTTTGGTTTTGTACCAACTGGAATTTCTGCTAAGAAACTTTTCAACCACTCCACTTTACTACTAGCCACTTCCAAAGCAATAAGCTCGGACTGCATAGTGGATCTAGAAATTTTAGTTTGTTTGGTTGATTTCCACGTAATGGCACCACCTCCAAGGGTGAATATATATCCATTGTTGGATTTTATCTCATCTGAGTCAGAGACCCAGTTAGCATCGTTGTACCCCTCTAGTACAGTGGGTAACCCACTATAAAATATATCCTAATTAATGGTACCTCTCAAATATCTGAGTAACCGCCTCAACACGGTCCAATGATCCACACTTGGATTATGAGTATATCGACTCAATCTTCCGACAACATAAGCTATGTCGTGCCTCGTATAATTCATCAAGTGTAATAGACTTCCAATAATTTGGGAATACTCATATTGAGCCTCGGGATCACCTCTATGTTTTTTCAAGTGTATATGAGAGTCATAAGGGGTGCTTACGGGGCTGACATTGAAATGTCCAAATCTCTTTAGAAGTTTTTCAGCATAACGCTCTTGAGATAGTATAATACCATCATCCTTCCTTATGACTTTCATACCCAAAATCACTTTTGCTCCCCCTAAGTCTTTCATAACAAATTTTGAAGCAAGAAAGGATTTTGTCTCATTTATTAGCTCAAGGTTGCTACTAAATATTAACATGTCATCCACATGTAAGCAAATAATAATGCACGCACCATTTTCACATTTAGTGTATGCAAACTTATCTACTTCTAGTGAAGTGAAATCATGAGCAAATAACACTTCGTCAATTTTTTCATTCCATTGTTTTGGAGCTTGTTTCAAACCATATAAAGATTTGATCAACTTACACACTTTGTGTTCCTGACCAATAACTACATGACCCTCCGGTTTCACCATATAAATTTCTTCCTCTAACTCACCATTTAAAAACGCAGTTTTAACATCCATTCGATGGACAAAAAGTTTGTGAATAGAAGCCAAGATAATTAAAGTTTGAATGGAAGAAACACGTGTTACCGGTGCAAATGTATCAAAATAATCAACATCTTGTTTTTGAGAAAAACCTTTCGCCACAAGTCTCGCTTTATATTTATCAATTGAACCATCCGGATTTAATTTCTTTTTAAAAAACCATTTGCATCCGATTGGTTCACAACCTTTGGTAAGTCAGTTAAAACCCAAGTTTTATCTTGTTTGATTGACTCAATTTCGTTTTGTATGGCCTCAAGTCAAAATGAAGCTTCTTTTGAAGAAATAGCTTGTGAATAAGTTAAAGGCTCATCATTAACGAGATATGTATAAAATCATTTCCAAAAGATGTTTCTATTCTTGGCCTCTTACTTCTTCTCAAAAGAGAAGGTTCATCACTAAAAGAATCATTTTCTTTTAATGGTTCACTATCACTAGAGGGTTCATCATTAAAGGTTTCATTTCCTTGTAATGGATCATACTCACTATATGGTGCAACGGTCTTGTGTTCACATTTCAAAGGAAACACATTTTCAAAAAATTCACCATTTTTTGTTTCAACAATTGTATCACATTCAAGCACATCACTTTGCAAAACAAGGAACCTATAAGCAACACTAGATTCAGCATAACCAATAAACATGCAATCAAAAGTCTTAGAACCAATTTTCCTCTTCTTAAGATTAGACAATAAGACCTTAGCTAAACACCCCCACACTTTCAAATATTTCAAATTAGGCGCAAAACCTTTCCACAATTCATAACGGGTTTTCTTATTATGGTTATAAGGAATCCTATTTTGTAAGTGACATGCAGAAAGAATAGCCCCCCTCCCCCCAAAGATTATCAGGTGCACCAGAACTATTTAAAAGAGCATTCATCATATCCTTTAGTGTCCTATTTTTTCTTTCAGCTATTCCATTAGACTGAGGTGAATATGGCGGAGTAACCTCATGAATAATCCTTTCTTTTTCACAAAAATCATTAAATAAAATATACGCACCCCCTCTATCCGATCTAACTCTCTTAATCTTTTTATTTAATTGATTTTCTACCTCAGATTTATACACTAAAAATTTATCAAAAACCTCGTCTTTATTTTTAAGCAAATAAACTTTAGTGTATCTAGAAAAATCATCTATAAAGGTGACATAATATTTTTTACCACCTCTAGTCATGGTATTTTTTAAATCACCTAAATCTGTGTGAATTAAACTAAGCAATTCTGATTTCCTATATATGGAGGGACAAGATTTTTTGGTTGGTTTAGATTGAACATAAACATCACATTTTTCTAGTGCCATTTTATTTTTAAAAGAAATCAAACCACAATCACTTAGCATTTTAACATAAGAGTTACTTGCATGTCCTAGTCTAGGATGTCACACATCGTAAGAATCAATTAAATAAACTGAAGCATTATCATGCAATATTTCAGAAATACTAAGCACAAAAAGTCCATTCTTACAATAGCCATTTCCCACAAGAATGTCATTTTTGGTCATAACAAAATTGTCACAACCAACAGAAACTTTAACCCCAACTTTTCCCAAGAGAGAAACGGAAACCAAATTAGTCCGAATCTCGGGCACATGAAGCACATCATTTAGTGATAAAGTTTTCCCTAACGTGAGCTTTAAAAGAACTTTCCCTTTTTCATGCACCTTAACAGTTTTAGAGTTCGCTAGGTACACGAGCTCTTCACCATCTCCTATAAAAGTATAGGAGGTAAAATCATTTTTGTTTTTACAAATATGCTTGGTAGCCCTGGAGTCTACTACCCACTCATTCACATCATTAGTTTTACAACTTTGAGAAACAACCGCAATAAAATTATCATCACCACAAACCAAGTTGAAACTTGATTTTAGTGGGTTGTTGTTTTTCACAGTTGTCATTATACCACTAAATACAAGAATAAAATTTTTCTTAAAAATTGTTGTTAAAGTATGACTTATTGTAACTAGGAAAGTAAAGAGAGTAAGCGTTATACGTAGAGATATATCTAAATAGCAGTCTAAATCGCACCACACATGCAAAAATAACATGGCCGCGATGAGTGCGACAACAACGCATTATGAGATCATGCGTGCATACATATCCGACGCTAAATACTTTCTTGAGATTGTAGGTGGAATTCGCCGGATAAACCTGCAAAAAGGTGTTAGAAATAATAATATAGCTCGAGTCGCGTGAAGTCGAGGGGCGGAGCTAGGACACTGGGTCGGACTGGGCCGGTACAAAGAATATTTTTAGAAAAAAATTTACACGAAATTTTTTACCTTAAAAATTTAGCCATTTTTCAAATTTGGGGTGGGCCATGGCCTAGGTTGGCCCACCCCTAGCTCCGCCCATGACGTGAACGCTGTCCTCAAAAAAGTATTTCCAACTAGCGAAAATCTTTCCCAAAGATAAAACAAGCTATTCAGCGTAAGCCGGTAACAGAACAACGAGAGTGAAAAATTATATTAATCTAGCAGAGTAAAAAATTTAAGGGATACTTCTAAGTTTTTATTCATAGGAATCATAGCTACTATATATACATGCAATACCGAACGTTGCTTGGCAGATGAAAAATTACGAGTAGTATTTAATACTAACGTACATATTATTAAAAAACAATAACGTTGAGACATGAACGTTCTTATAAGTAATAGCTAACTTTAAAATAGTCTCCCATGCACGTTCATGAGCATAACAACTTTAAGGCTCAATCCAAAATTGAATGTATACATAAAACAATGATTGAAGGGATTTTAATAGCACTAATCGTTTGAACATTTCCCATATTAATTGGATAGAGTAGATGCTTTAAAGTAATATTTATTTTTAATGGAATATATAGAAATATCTAATTTATTACTCCCTCTATTCCAAAATGATGGTCCTGTATTTCTTTTTTGGGATGTCCTAAAGTGATGGTCATGTTTCCCTTTAGGAAAGAAAGATGTGGTCCATATCATTTCACTTTATTATACTCAAATCTCAACCACAATTTTTACCATTTCAATCACTTTATTAAAACTTGTGGCCAAAAGAAATGAAACCATCAAATTGGGACGGAGCGAGTATTAGATAATTTATTCATTTCAGTATAACACTTCACACTATACAGTTATTATTATTTAAGGGACAGTAAATTAATTTAATGGAAATTTATTTCATAATTAATAAATTAAAAGTGGATTTTATTTATTTAAGACTTTTTTTTTTATGGTTATTTAAGACTTTGTATTAAAAACATTAAAAAAGGAAAGTGACGAGTAATGTTGAAAGGCAACAATATCAACTTTGGCTTACGATTTTACACTTAACTTTTATGGTAACTTTTAACTCTAAGCTCTTCCTTTAGAGAGAGAGACAAAAATGTGGGTGCAGCTGCTACTGTTCCTCCTCCTACTTCAGTTGAATCTCCGGCACTCCTCCTCCGCCGTCGTACCGTCCGGCGTGTCAGAGTACGATGCGTTGCTATCAGTAAAGCAATCCTTTACAGAAGATTCTCGGTCCTCTCTCGCCTCATGGAATGGCTCCAACCACATCTGCTCGTGGCGAGGCGTCACGTGCGACACGCGCCTCCACGTTTCTTCTCTCGACCTTTCCGGCTTGAACCTATCCGGCGTCCTCTCCCCCGACGTCGGCCATCTTCGCTTCATGGTCAACTTATCTCTCGCCGGAAATCAGATCTCCGGCTCCATTCCTCCGGAACTTTCCGCCATAACGAATCTCCGTTTGCTAAACCTCTCCATTAATAACTTCAGTTCGGTCTTCCCTCTGCAGCTTCTTCGACTTCACAATCTCCAAGAGCTTGACCTCTACAACAACAACTTGTCCGGCGATCTCCCGGTTGAAATCTCTCAGATGATTAATCTCCGCTACCTCCACCTCGGCGGGAACTATTTCAGCGGCAAGTTTCCTCCAGAATACGGAAGCTTCCCTCACCTCGAGTATCTCTCTGTTGCAGGAAACGAGCTGAATAGCGTAATTCCTTCAGAGATCGGAAATTTGACCCAGCTTAAAGAGCTCTATATCGGCTACTTTAACGTCTTCAGAGGTGGAATACCGCCGGAGATAGGAAACTTATCTCAGCTGACTCACTTCGATGCTTCTAACTGTGGGCTTACAGGAGAGCTTCCACGGGAGATGGGGAAACTGAAGAACCTGAATACTCTATTCATTCAAGTGAACGACCTTTCTGGGCCATTAACGCCGGAGCTAGGGCATCTAACGAATTTGAAGTCACTTGATCTATCAAACAATATGTTCTCTGGTGAAATACCGCCTACATTTGCGGAGCTAAAAAATCTCACTCTTCTGAATCTCTTCCGGAACAACCTTTATGGTTCCATACCGGAGTTCATAGAGGATTTGCCTAAATTGGAGGTGTTGCAACTATGGGAGAATAACTTCACAGGGAGCATTCCGCAGCAGTTGGGGAAGAATGGTAATCTTAATAATCTCGATCTAAGTTCCAACAAGTTGACCGGAAATATACCCACAACCCTGTGCACAGGAAACAAATTTCGAACCCTTATTATTCTGGATAATTTCCTGTTCGGTCCGATCCCAGAATCTCTTGGCCAGTGTCAGTCACTGACTCGAATTCGTGTGAACAACAACTATCTCAATGGGTCGATTCCTAAAGGGCTTTTCAGTTTGACTAAACTGTCACAAGTTGAGCTCCACAACAATATGCTCACTGGTACTTTCCCGGAGTCAATTTACACATCTAGTATTGTTGGAGAGATTAACCTCTCAAACAACAATTTGACCGGTCCATTGCCTTCAAGCATTGGAAAGTTCGCACATTTGCAGAAACTGCTTTTAGAAGGGAATGCCTTCTCCGGCCACATTCCATCTGAAATAGGAAAATTAAAACAGCTATCCAAGATGGATCTCAGCCTCAATAGTTTTTCCGGCTTGATTGCACCTGAAATTAGCCAGTGCAAGTTGCTGACTTTTGTCGATCTTAGCATGAACCAACTTTCTGGTGAAATTCCAGCCAAGATCACAGACATGAAGATATTAAACTATCTGAATCTGTCCAGAAATCACCTGTATGGGAACATCCCGGCTTCATTTTCCAAAATGCAGAGTTTAACATCCGTTGATTTCTCGTATAACAATTTATCTGGACTGGTTCCTAGTACCGGCCAGTTCAGTTATTTTAACCACACTTCATTTCGGGGCAACCCGAATCTCTGTGGCCCTTTCTTGGGCCCTTGCAAAGATGAGCCTGGTCATAAAGGTGGTCTCACACCAACTTTGAAACTTTTACTTGTTGTTGGATTGCTTGTATGCTCGGTCTTCTTTGCGATTGCAGCTATTGTCAAGGCCCGATCTTTAAAGAAAACAAGCAATGCTCGTGCATGGAAACTTACTGCTTTCCAACGCTTAAGTTTTACTGCTGATGATGTCATAGAGTGCTTGAAGGAGGAAAACATCATTGGAAAGGGAGGAGCAGGTATAGTTTTCAAAGGAGTGATGCCCAATGGAGAACAGGTGGCCGTGAAAAGGTTGTCAGTTATGAGCCGTGGAACTTCACATGATCATGGTTTCAATGCAGAAGTACAGACTCTTGGTAGGATCAGGCATAGGCATATCGTGAGATTATTGGGTTTTTGCTCAAACTATGAATCAAACCTTTTGGTTTACGAGTATATGCCGAATGGGAGTCTGGGTGAAGTTCTTCACGGGAGTAAAGGTGGTCATTTGAGTTGGGACACACGGTGTAAGATAGCAGTAGAGGCTGCAAAGGGTCTTTGCTATCTCCATCATGATTGCTCACCCTTGATACTACATCGTGATGTGAAGTCAAACAACATTCTTTTGGACTCCAACTTTGAAGCCCATGTTGCTGATTTTGGACTTGCCAAGTTCTTGCAAGATTCTGGAACTTCAGAATGCATGTCTGCTATTGCTGGTTCTTATGGATACATAGCTCCAGGTAGTATATACTCCGTATTAATTAATTGTATATTTTATTGATTTTCTGTTATGCTCAAATGTCTTTTTCTCTTTGTTGTTGTCTCTAGCCTTAGATCTAAGAAGAAATTCAATTATGACTGCTTAGGGGGTTTCTCTTATTCTCTTAATGAGCAAAAAGCTTAATAATCAGAATAGCACCGTAGGAAGCTTTTGATGTATACTCAGTTATAAACACCAGTGTCCTGTCGCATAACATATATAGCACTACTACTTTTGCTGAAATTAACAATAAAAATTGGGCATATATAATTCCAAAGCCCTTTCTTTAAGAAAATTGGGCAGATTGGGCCATTTTTGCCATGTTTCCCTTACTAAACTGGTCATTGAAGTCTGAACACTCATTCATTAATAATTTTTAGAATGTGTAATTTGCTTTATTTCCAATGATGCTGTAGTAGTTTCTGATTGATACCAAATCGTGCAGAATATGCATACACTCTCAAGGTTGATGAGAAGAGTGACGTGTACAGCTTCGGAGTGGTTCTTCTGGAATTGATAACTGGAAAAAAGCCAGTTGGGGAGTTCGGGGATGGGGTTGACATAGTCCAATGGGTTGGGGAAATTACTGACTGGAAAAAGGAAGAAGTAGTGAAGATCCTGGATTCAAGACTAGAGACAGTTGCTCCCATTCATGAGGCAATGCACATTTTCTATGTCGCTATGCTGTGCGTGGAAGAGCGTGCCGTGGAACGACCAAAAATGAGGGAGGTTGTGCAAATGCTAACCGAGTTGCCCAAACTCCCTGTAAGCGACAAAAAAGAAGAGGATTCATCTTATCATGACTCTATATAGTTCCCACACAATTTGGCTAGCTCTTCTGATCTATTTCCAGAGCATCTTTCCATGCTCCTACCGTGCATTTCTTTCCCTTGTTTTACACTAGTATTTTTTATGCAGCAAGTTGTACAGTTGAAGTGAATCCATGTGAAGGGGCTAATCTGAGTGAATCCACTCATTACTTTCGTTTTTGTTATTGACTAAAAAACCATCTGCATTCGTACTATCAAAACCATTAACTTTTGAGTTGCAGTCTACATGAACAAACATTTTTGTATAACGTGTATACCTACACACCAGAACAGTTTTGTTGATATGGATAAGATTTTAACTGTGATGATACATTGATACCCTATGAGAACAAAAAGTATATAACTACGTACAAAAAGTTATGTATTTTGTATGTTATGTTAGATTCCATTGGAAAATAATTACCGTGACCTACTCTTCCACCATTCTATTAGATTTTGATGTATGTTAAAAGTCACTAGATTTAAATGATATACATTTATAAACAACCTCTATTTTGATCATAAAAATTGAAATTATTTTTATTGCTATTGAAATTTATTCTCAATATTACTGAACTTTAACACAGACAAAAATGTGACTATAACTAATATAGCATTTCTTTATGATCACTACTATGTAAAATTGAAAACCAAAGTTTATGTTATTAAAAGTTGTCAATCTAATCATTGTGCAAAAAACGTAACTTTTTTCAATAATGATATGTTTTGTTTGAGCAAAACGACATGAATATTATTGTTAAAAGTATCATGATAAATCAATCATATAACTGGTTTAAAAATCAATTATACGGAGATGAGAGATAGATATAGAAAATCTATACATTCTAATTGCCATTTTACCTTTTGTGCAATCATTACTAGTCTACTAATCCTTATTAAAACCACATAAAAAATTCCCTGCGGATAATACAATTAAATGATACCCCTACCCGCACGGGTAGCTCAGTTGATCCAACGGTGGAAAATTTGGAACAATGATCAAACATCGAAATCCGCAGTGACCGTGTGGAGGTTACAACTCTTGCGTGCTGGGTTGGACCTCTGATGCGCACTGGTATAAGGTCTACCACTATTGGACCGACTAAATCACCGTGACCTCCTCCTCCACCATTCTGTTGGGTCGGGGTGTGGGGACTCCTGGAGTGGGAGATTCCACCTTTTGAAAAAAATAAATGATACACCTGAATGGTACACCACCGGCGGCGGAGTCAGAAATCTATGGTTAAAGGAGCCGGTCTTTAAAACTGTTACATTGAAGAAGCTAAAGTTTAAAATATCAACATACTTTCTATAGATTAAAAGTATTTAAACTTTTACATTGCAGGGGCCAAAACTTTTTTCTTACAGGGGCCGAGACCCCTCCGGTCCCTCCATGTCTCCACCCTGTACACCACCCTAGTTAATACTTCGTAGTTAATACAAGTACATTTTTAACCAACCATTCCAGCTCACTGGATGGAAGGTTACTGTGTCCTAGCAGAGGTCTTGGGTTCGAATCCCGCTAGGCACATTTAGAGAAGAGGAGGGAGGTCTTGCTCCCAATGATTCTTCCTACCTTCACGAAGTTGCATAGCGGCTTAGAAGGGAGCGGATGAAAATTTAGGTCGCGAGTTCGCGTGGTGGGAGGACCCTTCTGGATACAGATGAAAGGAAACCCTGCATAGTAGGAGAACCCTTCTGGATTCAGTTGAAAGAAAGTTCTGTTGGATTCGTCCTGTAGTACCAGTACCGACGAAGACTGACTGCGATAATATCCGAATTTGATCGTCTAGAGGTTTTGGGGGTAGTCAATAGATTCTAAGATTAGAGGAGCTCAAACACCGACATCTGAATTATAAAAAAAATACATCTAGAGATTACACAAAAAGGTGAACTCTATTCGATACGGAGTAGTGGTATTAAATTAAACTGCTAAAGGACCTACGTTAATTAAATAAGCAAATCATTGTTCTCTTACAAAGGTGGTCCTATTATTTCTTTGACACCGTACGCCGGTGGGCATATTCCCATGTGGCCCTCCCTAGGTTTCTTCCATTCCTTAGCAGTATTGTATTGGGTCAATGCATTGCCATTTTGTCCATTTCGACATTTTCCCCACTCGAGAAGAAAAAGTTAATTAGTGGGTGGATGGTCCTTCCAAGTTCCAACCGTGTATTCGTTCCTTATCAGCAAATTATAAGTATCACGGATATAAGGTGAAAACCTCTTTATTTTTGGTAAGCACCGTAACGAACTTTTTTACTTTTTATTCTTTTTGTTGTTAAAAATTGTAATAACTTTTTTATTTCATATCGATTTTTTATAATTTTTATCTCCAATATCTTTTGGGATTACGGCTTGGATGTTGTTGTATCGATTTTTTATAATTTTTATATTATTTTTTTATTTTTCATTATCTATCAAATGAGACCAATATTGCTTATGCAATTTTAAGAAATTATCGAACTATTATATTAATGAGTATTGGATGATAAGGAAAATCGAACTAAATTTAATACAGAAAAATAATTGTGTAAATCACAATTTATCTTAAAATTGTGTATATAAAAAATTATTGTATTATGTATTTATACATGTGAGTTACATATTTTTATACGTAAAGTTACATATTTTTACACGTAAAATTACATATATATACACACGAGTTGCATTTGGCCTGCTGAACGCGAATTACATATTTTTACACGTAAAGTTACATATTTTTACATGTAAAGTTACATATTTATACACGCGAGTTACATATTTATACACACGAGTTGTATTTGACCTGTCTGAACGCGAGTTACATATTTTTACACGTAAAGTTACATATTTTTACACGTAGAATTACATATTTATACATACGAGTTGCATTTGGCCTGACTGGACGTGAGTTACATATTTCTACACGTAAAATTACATATTTTGCATAGGTTAATATAATAGTTCTATAATATGTTAAAATTACATAGACAATATTGGTCTCATTTGAAAGATCATGAAAAATAAAAATGTTGATATAAATTTTATAAAAATCGGATCAAAAATAAAAAAGTTATTACCATTTTTTTAAAAAAGAGAAATAAAAAATAATATCCAATGCAATTTGGGATGAAATATCATACGCACCATGGGACGGTCGTATGATATACGAAATGCTAGAACGACGTTGTATTGGTGGCGAGTGTAGCATGCTTATAGTGGGGCGATGGTATGGTATACGAACCGTTAGTTTTCGGTTTCATAGGTTCGGTTTTTAATCAATCATTTTTAAAAATGGGAAACCAAGAATTCAGAAGCAATCCTTGATTCAAGTGTAGTTGATTTGGGTTTGATTGGTTTTGGTCGGTGCATCAGTTTTACTACATATCGGCCGGTTTTTGTATTAGTTTTAAATCCAAAATCACAAAAGGTAGACCGAAAAAAACGAAGGGTTTGGTCGGCTTTGGTCACTTTGGGTTTTATTCGATTTGGTTTCTATCGGCCTCACTTCTTGTAGTTTTTTGTTTACTCCTAGTTTGGAACATATATTTTTACTTACCTTCTTAAATATGTAAGTATTCTAAATAGATTAACTATTTCTTTCTTTTTCGCTTACCGGACAAAACAAAGAGATTTATTCCTAAATTTCGGATGCCTTCTAGCTTTTGTATAATTTAAAAAGACTTAAAAAACTTATAGTTGTATGTTTGACATATCAAATTTAAAGAGCTTTTATAAAAATAAAAGATCTTTTTTTAGATGCTACAGTGAGTAGCATCGCAGATAAGTCTATAACTTATAACATTAATTAGTTCCAACGGCTTGGAGCTTGTATGACTATGTTTGGCGGGCATAAATTTCTGTCAGCTTCTAGCTTTTGTAATATTTAAAAAATCTTTAAAAACTTGTAGTTGTATGTTTGACACGCCAATTTTTAAGAGCTTTTATAAATATAAAAGATCTTTTTTGACATGCTACAGTGAGTAGCATCTCAAATAAGTCTGTAGCATCTAGCATTAATTAGTCCTATCAACTTGTATATCAAACAAAGCTAATTCAAATAGTCGACTTTTTACCAAACAGCTACTGCATTTTCTTTTTAAGATCTTTTCAATTACTAAAAACTAACAGTTACTAAAAAGCTCATAAAAATATCTTTTCAGCTAATTGTGCCAAACATACCCATACCAAACAGAACTAAATCAAATAGTCAGTTTTTATCAAACAACTATTACCTTTTTCTTTTAAGATCTTTTCTGTCACTAAAAGCTAACCGTTTCTAAAAAGCTCATAAAAATATTTGATGGAGTATATGGGTCTGAGCCCCCGGACCCACATACTCGGAAGAACAGAAAACACAAGACACTGAGTGGCGCCCTCGTCGGCCAAGGGACCCCCGTCGGTCGAAAAGGTGCCAACTCAGATTATGGTCCTGAGCCCAAGGAGCCCGGGTGCCCTCGTCGGCCGCGCCCTCGTCGGCCATGCCCTCGTCGGCCACGAGGACCTCACAGAACCGGATTTTATACTTACTCATTCGTACAGCCCATTAATGGCTTTGTATTCGGCCCAGTAGCGGTCCAGTTGTAAATGGGCCTCCCAAGCCCAAGGCTTGGGAGCCCAGCCCAAGGCTTGGGAGCCCAGCCCAAGGCTTGGGAGCCCAGCCCGTATTTTCTCTATAAATACTCCCCTTGGGAGTAGTTATAGGGGTTACAAATTCATTCTATTGAAGCATATTATTGCACTTCTCTCTCTAGCTCTCACTTCTCTCTAGATATACTCTATCATTTGGTGCTCTCGTTGAGAGCTAGAACAATCAAGTTAGCACCCTTCGTCGCTACCAAGCACAGCTAACCACTGATCATGGGAAGAACTAAGTCAAACCGCAACCTCGTCAGCAAGCACTAGTACAAAAAAGGCTTTTTACATCTCCTTTTCTACATGTGTTATTTTAAAACACATGTAGAATACTAACATGGGGTCTTTTTTATAATTTTTATAAACTTTTTTACATAGGTTGCAGTTATAACCCATGTGAAACACCAAAACGGGGTACTTTTTTAAATTTTAAGAAATAATCTAAATCGGATATAATTGCAACCGATGTGAAAAGAAAAACGGGGTACTTTTCAGAATTAATGAAACTTTATTTTAGATCGGTTAAAACCTATGCGGAAGAAATTAAAAAAAAAGATCCGTTTAATCATTCTTTTTCGCCCCGGCCTGCACTTCCGATTTCAGACCTGTTTCAGAGCGTGAAGGAAAGAAGACTTCGAGCACTTCAGACCTAGGCGCGCCTAAGCGAGTTAGGGCATTCGACGGACTTCGCCCTTCTTGGCCTGCGGCTGCGGTTGCGGCTGCGGTTGTTACGCGAATTAGGAAGACGAACTCCACTCTGGCCCTCGCGAGGAAGACGAACTGCAAATCCGCCCCTGCTCTGCGGCTGAGCTTGTTGGCCTGCGGCTGCGGCTGCCCTTCTTACGCGAATTAGAGACCCCCCATCCCACGGCCCCAAACCCTAATTAGAGCTGCGGCCTGCAAGGTCACGAGGAAGACGAACTCCACTCTGGCCCTCGCGAGGAAGACGAACTGCAAGTCCACCCCTGCTCTGCGGCTTTGAGCCTCCCCCACTCTCCAGGTAACCTCCAACTCCAATTCTCCAAAATCCAAATTCTATTTGTGTTTACTTTTAGTTTTTTGATTTTTTTTGATTGAATTGCTGTTAGATTGTGATTTCATTGAATTGTGAATGTGTTATAATATTCCGTTTGACCGACTTGCAATCATCCTTAATATTTAGGCATAATAGAATTTATATTAAGTGTCTGAGTGAAATTGTGGTGGTTTTGTGTAATTATTATACTTTTTTTTTCAATTAAATGATTGATGTTTACTTCTGTTCAATGCTGTTAACTAAAATGATTTCACCTAGGGTGGGAATATTGATGATCTCAGTTCAGCTTTTATCAGTTTTTGGTTCGGTTTGGTTTGAAACAGAAAGAAAGAATGATTACCAAACAAAATCTATGTTAGGTTTGTTACAGTTTGGAAGAAATTCTACAAAATTCAAATGGAATTGCAAATGGTTGCTCGGTTCCTCCAAACTGATTCTTTAATGGCTCAAATCTATCCTTTCAATGTCTTTTTGAAGCATGCCAGTATGGTTTATTTGCAAATATAAAAAACATAGAGATTAATATCTATAAAAAGTATAATGTAGAATTGATTTTCATTAGACATGTACTCAACTCCATTTCCTTACATGTTCTTGTGGTTACTACTCCACCTAGAAGAGTCATCACTCTTCTAAATAGGAAGATTGCTAACTGTTTTTTTTGTTAACGAGGAGGATGGTTCTAAATATCATTGGGCTAAGCTGAAAGTCATATGTCAACCCAAGGAAGTGGGAGGGTGGGGATCAGATCATTGGAACACATTCAGCACGTATACTCCATCAAGCTGTGGTGGGAATTTCAGAAGAAAGATTCAATGTGAGCTCTTTTTATGAGAAGTAAATATTCATCTAGAGATCTTTCTCAAGTCAAGCCAATTGAAAAATATTCAATTTCGATTTGATTTTTACAATTTCGATTTTATGCAACTATTTGGATTGGATTTGTTCTTTTCTCAAGTTTAAGTTATTTAGCATAAAAATGTCAGCTCGCGTGTCATGGTTATATTCCAGAGTCTTGTCAAGGTAAAATCACTTTCTAGGAGCCGAAGCTTTGCCACTCTCAATAATGATATCAAGGCGTCAATTATTATGCTTGCCAATGTCTAAATAAATGATTTATAAATCATCTTTATATTCAGCCCAAATTGTACTGAAAGAACATGTTTTAATTTTTAAACTAAGTATCTAATGAAGTACATATGAATACTTGTTATTAAGTTTAAATGCCATACCATAATGAAACAAAAGACACAATGCATAAATTCTTTGATAGTTATAGATTGTAAAGAAGCCTTTAAACACATGCCAAATTTTCATGCTTAGTTAGGTTACTGAATTTGGGATGTATTATCTTTTTCATCTCGCCAGAAAACTTTTTAAGGTGTACTGACTTTCATACCTGATCTGCATTTAGTTTTTTTAATCAAAGGATCTAACTAGTCCTGTCTGACTGAAAGTGCTCAGGTAATTTTTTATTTCATTCTTTTCAGTATGTAAGAATGACGGCATGCCATTTTTATGTGCTGGTGGATGTGTATTCCAAATGATAATCTCCATCTCCTCTTTCCGGTGCAGATTTAATATAAATCCTTGGAAAGACAGTTCTAGTCTCTACAATGATACAATCTAAAACCTTTTCAATTTAAACTTAATTCCTTATGCAGTTATGCTTCCAGTAGTGTAACTTTGCTCGTTCACATCCTGCCACTTTTCTTTCTTGGCACCCAGGGACTGCTTTATCCTTCAGGAGCAGGCTGAAACTTTTACATTGGCATTTAATGCAATTCTAGGATTTGGCATCTCACTAATTGTGTGTTTTTTGTAGCAGTAATTTATTACGCAACTACATTTATTATTTAGTTCCAAAGCTTTGCTCAATACTTTAATTAGATGAACCGTTTTACTTAAGCATTCATATTATTCCTCTATTTATAGCTTGCTGAAAAAAATAGAAAATGATTATATCATACATGAGGTGTTCTGCTAATACACTTCTTTGCTTTTTCATTTTTCCACATTGGAGCGCTCATAAGTTGTTTACATAAATTTCAGGTGGAAAAGAAGAGGTCATTTCAAATTTTCTTGAAGCAATTCCTCGTTGTATTTAAGAACTGGGAACCGGTTAATATTGAACAATCTGTGGAGGGTATGTTATGTGCATCTACCTCGGAGGGTTCAAAACATGGCCCTGATGTTGTACTTGGCTGTTCATTTGGTCATCCTGCAGAAATAATTCTATGTTTAACTGAAGAGCTTGCACAAATAACCATCATTGTTAGTGAATGTAAGTTGCTGTTATATTTTATGGCGCTCTATAGACTATAGGTGTTTAAAAAAAGTCTGGAGATCTCACTGGCGGCTGCCCTTGCCATTCTCGTATCAAGTCTCTTCAATGCTTATTTCCTGGGCTTATTGGACTGTTTGCCCCATGATTCTGTCAAATTTTTGTTTGAGCGTTTTCTTTTCACATACTATTTCAGTGTTTTTTCTTTCTTCGGAGGGGCGGGCTGTTGGATATACAAAAAGGTTGGCAAACTCATACAAGTTCACTTCGCTAGGTTTAACTGTCAATAAAAGAAAAGAGAAAAACTCGACCTGGCCTTATCACTCAAAGGAATATGTTGGTACTTTTGTACTAATTTTAGAATTCAATATGTGTTATGACAGAATGTTCTTAAGACGTGTCATCTGTAAATCTGTGTAAATTGCAATATTTTGGGCGTGTCTGCTCAATTGTTTTTAGGAAATGTAACCTTTCTCATTTGATAAGTGTGTCTGGCAAAAAGCTTGAAGACATTTTTCTGTAGAAGAAACTCCTTCCCACAGTAAATTGATTCTTTGTCAATAATACATATTCTTGTTTCATCCTTAGTCCCTAACAATAATGATATAATATCACTACCTCTAATATAATGCTTTCAACTGCAGATCAGTTGGGAGCTTTCTCTACCTTAACATCTGAAGGTTTTCCTATCTTAGATGCTTTGGCTGTTGTGGTTCGTTCATTGCACAATTGCCGACTCTTTGGCTACTATGGCGGGATCCAGAAGATTACTGCATTAATGAAGGGTACGATTTTAATCATGCTTCTTCTTTGACTATTCTATTCGTTTTATTGTGATTGTCTCAAGGGGACAGCATGACAAAACTGAACCTTCTAGGAGTGTTTTGATCTATTCTTTTACTGCAGAGATCACCCAATCTTGATCTTTCATCCTACATTTTTACATGCTCATCATTTTCCCCTTTCCATTATAACCTTTATACCCGGAAGTCTTGAGTACATAAAGACTGAATTTTTGAGCATTACTAATTTTCAGCCACAGTTGTGCAACTCAAGACCATTCATTGCTAGTGCACTTTCAACAGAAGGAAATATGCTAAACAATGTTGTGGAGAGGACTGCAGTTTTTCAGAATACTTTAGTGCGTGCTGTTTCTATAATAGGCAGCTTTGTCAACTTGCAGTCGAACATATATAGGGCTCATCTAAACAGAAGTCACTTGGAGTCTTTTGTCTTGAGGGGTAGCATGGAAACAACTGAACCTTCTACAGACGTGAGTGGCTCTCTCACTGAAGTATTGTTGCAGTGGCATAAAAAGGCAGTTGTGTCTGTAATGGAAGCAGGCGGCCTTAATTGGTTAGTAGGTAAGGTAGGCAGCTTCATTTCTTTTCCTCCTCAGAATTCTCTTTTAGAACAGACTTCACAACCTTTCTTATATGGACTATTGGTGAAGGTATGCACCACTATTTGAACTTGTATGTCTATACATACTAATACTGGTACTGATGAATTGTAGCTGTTGGTTTGAAAGCAGGTAGAGACTGCGTGTGCATACGTTTGTGCTGAGAGTAAGATTTATGATGCGACTGAGTGGTATACCTTCCAGGTAGGGGCCCTCTTCTTTCTTTGTGCTCCATCCCCCACCCCCCACCCCACCAAAAAAAAGGTCAAAATCTTGATTGATCAGTTTAGGCTAGTTTTCCATCATCATTGGTCACGGACCGACCATATAAAATCTTTTATGTTGTACATTCCATTTTATTTAATTTTTGAATATATATTGTATATCTTAATTACATAAATAATTTATTATTATATATATATATATATATATATATATTTAATATTATAAGTTACATAGTGCAATGGAGGCAAGCCGTAGGCTCAACTCAAGAAAGGGAAGAGTGAAACGGATTATTCCTATGGTAAATACTTACTACTTTACTTTGTATGTTATTTTTACTTTCATTTGTGTAGCACCAAGTCAAATACCGTAATTCCTGATTAGTAATTATGTTGATTTAACTTGTAGTCTCAAATGCAAGTTGGGAGTTATGAATGTGGTTATTATGTGTTGCATATGTTGAATATTGTTTCGGCGGTAATTCTTGAAATGTGGGATGAGGTACGTTATTATTTTATTTACATTCAATAGGTTTGCTCCATGTATTGTTTTTTAATAATCTTCTTATTTAATTTGTAGCGATTCGCCAATCCGGAACCATTCTCATCAGAAAAGATTGATGAAGTACGAACTCGTTGGGCATCATATTTCTTAGAAATGACGCAACCCGTCAACGACACATGATGAACGTTTTTGTTTAAGTTTTTGAGTGATGATGAGACTTGTAACTTTATACAATGTGTTATTACTCTAGACTTGTGCAAGAATTATTTTAGTTTAGCTTATTATTATGTACTAAGTTGTTACTTGAACTTGTTTAACATTTGTGGAAGAATTGAAAAATAGCTTGTGTTATTGTTTTAGATGGATCAAGTGAACAGGTGAAAAATTGTGCTATAGTAGTTGATGATACTGTTAATGATGTGGTTATAGTATAAACGGGGGTCATATTGCAAATTTTTTTCGTGAAAAATACCGAAAAAGTTGAAGCTTTTCACATCGGGTGTGAAATAACCGATGTGATTGCTTTTCTACATGGGTTATAACCAATGTGAAACACATATGTTTTGGAAAAAAATGAAGCTTTTCACATCGGTTGATAAAATGAACGATGTGAAATCTTTTCTACATGGGTTATAACCGATGTGAAACACATATGTTCTGGAAAAAAATGAAGCTTTTCACATCGGTTGATAAAATGAACGATGTGAAATCTTTTCTACATGGGTTATAACCGATGTGAAAAACCTATGCTCCGGGAAAAATTGAAGCTTTTCTACATCAGTTGTAAAATAACCGATGTGGTTTCTTTTCTACATGTGTTATAACCGATGTGAAATATCATTAAAACGCCATTTCGGACTATCTTCTAGATCGGGCACTAAACGACCGATGTAGAAAGACTTTTCACATCGGCTGTTTGACCGATGTCAAAAGTCAATACTTTTCACATGTGCTGGAACCACATCGGCTGTTTGACCGATGTGAAAAGCCTTTTTTGACCGATGTGAAAAGCCTTTTTTGTACTAGTGAAGGCCATCCCTGAGGACCAAGAGCACAGGGAGCACGATGAGGACGCCACGGCCGACCAGGTCGGCGGAGGGGACCTCTTCCAGGAGGCCTTCAACCTCACAACGGACCTCCGCAACCAACTCAACGGCGGAGCCCCTGATGCCCGCCTCGGCCTGGACAAGAAACGAGCTGAGAAGACGGATCACGCCCCGGCCCAGCCTATGGCCGCGGCCTCTCCGTCCGTGGATCCATAGGTCCAGGCCTCGCTGTCGGTCATCATCGCCAGCCTGGCTCAGAACCCCACCGTCCTCAGCGCACTCTTGCCAAGGACCGGGGGGAACGTCACTCAACCTCCTCAGCCCCAACCGTTGGCCGACCAGATAGGCAACGATGAGGGGGTAGTGGCCCAGGACACGGTGTCGTCCCACTCCCACCCTGCTTCCCCTCTTCGGCCCGGGCAGACCCCAGCGCGTGGAAAAGCCTCTGCCTTCAACAGGCTAGGCGACACACGCCGTCGTCCGGTTTCGGAGAGGATGGCGGGACGGATTGGTGAGCGTCGTCCTGGCTCGCCGAGGGAAAGCTTGGGGTCTGTGTCCCGGACAGCGAACCAGCCCCGCCCGGACAAGGGCAAGGGGAAGCTGCACGAAGACGACGTGCGCCACCAGATCAATGCGGCTCACGACGAGCGCATGAGGAACCAGTCGGGCGCCGCTGCGGCCGCCAGGGACCCCCGAGACGAGGTCATCGCTCAGCTGGAAAGGAGGCTGGCTCAGATGGAGGCCAAGCAGTCGGCCAACATCCCTACGGCCGGCGCCTCCAATGACCCCGACCTCAACGCGCTCATGAATAAGGTTAGCGCCCTGGAGAGGGAGCTGGCCGAGGGGCGAGGTGACCCCATCATCCAGGTCAGGACCAGGACCCCTTTCACCAACAGGGTCCTCTCGGCCCCCATCCCGGAAAAGTACAGGGGGAACGCCATCAAGTCCTACGACGGCCGATCAGACCCCCAGGAACACTTCAGCCGTTATCAGAACAACATGTTGATGGTGAACGCGTCCGACGAATACCTCTGCCGTTGGTTCCTCTCCACTCTCGAGGGGCCAGCGTACGAGTGGTTCAACGCGCTCCCCGAAGGGAGCATCGACTCATGGCAGGATCTCGCCCAACGCTTCCTCACTCACTTTGCCGGGAGGAAGCGTGCGAAGAAGTATTTCACCCACCTCCTCTCCGTCAAGCAGCAGCACGAGGAGTCCCTCCGGTCATTCATCGATCGGTGGACGAGGGAAACCGAGGAGGTCGAGGGGGCCGATGAGCGCACCCTTCTCGCCTTGTACCAAGGAGCCCTCCACAGCTCCCCATACGCTAGGAGCCTTATCACCGACCCTCCGAGGTCGTACGCCAAGGCGCTCCAGCGCGGAGGCTTGTACGCCGACGCCGACGAGCTCCATAATCACAAGAGAGAGGGGGGCCATCCCTCCAAGAAGACAAATCCTTCGCCGGCCCCGGGTCCGTCCCCGGCCGGCCAGGGTGCCCAGGGCCGTCACGGCTCTGGTGGACAGAGTAAGAAAGATCGCCACTGGCGGCCGAGGTTGGAACGGCCGGGGGTCTCCCTCACTCACCCGGTCGGCACCATCCTCGATTATGCCGAGAAGCACGGCCTCATCGAGCAGGCTCCTCGGCCGGCCGAAGAGATCCTTGCCATCCAGCAGGGCGGCACATACTGCCGGTTCCACAAGAACTCGTCGCACAACACCGACGATTGCATCACACTGAAGAAGGCCATCGAGCGCCTTATTCGCCAGGGGGAACTCTCCCAGTTTGTTAAAGGTGGCCCACGCAAAAACACATGGGTAAACACCGGCGAACATGGGGGCGAACCCTCTGCGAAGAAGCGGGAGATTGGTAGGCTCAGCGACGACGAGGACTTCGAAGAGCCCCCGCCAAAGAAGAATCACATTCACCTCATCGTAGGTGGAAACACTGGGGGGGTCTCCGCCACTCAGAGAAAGAAATGGGCCCAATCCCTCTACATAGGGGAGGTGTCCCACGTTCCCCCCCAGCCGAAGAGGCAGCGGACGGAGGCGATCACCTTCACCGACAAGGATTTGCCTCCGGGTACGGAATCACACAGGGACGCCCTCGTCATCCGGTGTGAGATCGGTGACTCCATCATCCACCGCACTTACATCGATACGGGGAACTCCGTCAACGTGATGTACCTGGATACCTTCAGGTAGCTGAAGCTGGACAGAGCTCTGCTGAAGCCGATCAAGACACCGTTATCCGGCTTTACCGGGGACTCTATCGACGCCGAGGGCACGATAGTCCTCCCCGTGGAATTCGGTGACGGCCCCCACCACGCCAAGATTGACATGGAGTTCATGGTGGTCAACCTCCAGTGCGCCCACAACCTGATCTTGGGGTGGCCAGCGCTGGAGGACTTGGAGGCCATCATCTCCATGAAGCACTTATGTCTGAAGTTCCCCACCAATGACGGCATCGGCTACGCCAGAGGAAACCAGAGGATAGCCAGAGCGTGCTACCTTAAGCTGACGAGGCCGGCCGAGAGGGAAGGCCAGAGGATAGACACCATCACGGCAGCCGTTGCCAAGGACGAGGAGAGGCCACATGCGGAGCCGGCCGAGGAGGTCGAGGAAATCCCTCTGGATACCTCCCGACCGGAGCGGGTTCTCAGAGTCGGGAAGCAACTCCCTCAGGACCAACGAGACGCCATCCTCCTCGTCCTACGGTCATATGCCGTTGTCTTCGCGTGGGGCCCGGACGATATGCCAGGCATCAGCCGCCAGGTGATCACTCACCGGCTGACCGTCGATCCGGCCTCCACGCCCATCAAGCAGAAGCGGCGCTACCTGTCCGCCGACAGGCGGGACTTCGTCAAAGGGGAGGTCGCCATGCTCCTCTCAATCAAACACATTAAAGAGGTGAAGTACCCGACGTGGTTGGCCAACGTCGTCCTCGCCCAGAAGCCGCCAACATTCAGGATGTGTGTTGATTACACTGACCTGAACAAGGCGTGCCCCATGGACCCGTTCCCTCTCCCCAACATTGATCAGCTGGTGGACGAGACGGCGGGGTGCGAGTTGATGTCGTTCCTTGACGCTTTCAGAGGGTACCACCAAATCTCCATGCATGAAGATGACGCAGAGAAGACGGCATTCATGACCCCAGAGGGAATCTTTTGCTACCTCGTCATGGCCTTTGGACTCAAAAACTCCGGTGCCACCTACACTAGGATGGTGGCCAAGATCTTCAGAGCGGTCCTTGGCCGGACGATGGAGGCATACGTCGACGACATTATCGTCAAGAGCAGGCAGGCCTCCTCCCACGCCGACGACCTCCGGGAAATATTTGAAATCATGAAGGAGTTCAGGCTCTGGCTCAACCCCAAGAAGTGTGCCTTCGGCGTCCAGGGTGGCAAGTTCCTCGGCTACATGGTCAGCCGGAGAGGCATCGAGATAAACCCGGAGAAGACACAGGCTATCATCAACATGGAGCCGCCCCGCAACGTCAAGGATGTACAGCGACTGACGGGGCGCCTGGCGGCCCTGAACCGGTTCCTCTCCAGGTCAGCCGAGAGGCACTCCCTTTCTTCCAGATCATGCATAAAGCCAACAGCTTCAGGTGGACGACGGAGTGCCAGGAAGCATTGGACGAATTGAAAAGGTACCTATCGTCCCCACCCGTGCTCTCCAAGCCCAAAGCTGGCGAAACCCTCTTCTTGTACTTAGGGGTGAGCACGTCGGCCATCAGCTCCGTGCTCATCCGTGAGGACGAAGGGGTGCAAAAGGCCATCTTCTACATCAGCAAGACACTCAGGGAGGCCGAGCTCAGGTACCCCCCCCATTGAGAAGACGGTGTTGGCCATCGTCCATACGGTGAAGATGCTGGGACACTACTTCCAGGCCCATGCCGTCCATGTGCTAACCCAACAGCCTCTCGGCGCACTCATGAGGAGCCCCACCAGCTCCTCCAGGATGGTGAAATGGGCGATCTTCCTCAGCCAATTTCAAATTGAGATCAAGCCAAGGCCATCTATCAAGAGGCAAGCCTTGGCCGACTTCGTCATTGAATGCACAACAAGGGAGACGGCCGTCGCCAACCCCGGGCCGGAGCCGGACGATACATGGACCCTGTTCACTGACGGCTCGTCGGCCGTAAAATCATGCGGCGGCGGCGTCGTCCTCATATCCCCTGAAGGATTCAGAGCTTACTATTCCATCCGCTCCAACTTCAGGGTATCCAACAACGAAGCCGAGTATGAGGCCCTCCTCAGCGGTCTCAGACTCGCCGCCGGCCTCAAGGCCAAGCACCTCAAAATCAAGTGCGACTCCAAACTGGTAGTGGGCCAGGTGGAGGGA